ACTTTAATGGGTTAGAAATGGCTGGGATGGTGTGAAACATTGAGCAATTTCACATCCATGAAATGTCCCAAGTTGTCACCATTTCTAACCACACCCTTTTTTCCGAATGGAAAAGCGATGAAGGCGAGTGTTTGGCGCCTTAAAACCAAATTGCTCGACAGTCTTCCCATTGTAAGGGAAGTATGGTAAGGCTGTCCATGTTCCGAATCAGTTTGTCATGACTTGTGATATTATCTGTTTTCTAGACATGCTGATGAGCCCTGATATGGGGCGAAACAGTCATTTTAACATCTCGGCATATAAAAGCATAATAATATAATCTCATAGTCATACATCGTGTTAAGCTGGGTTTTTTCAAACTTTCCCTTTTTTATGAGTATGGTTGTCTTGGAAGTAAGAAGTCTCCATGGTGGATAGTGGACTGGTGAAAAGGCGTTCCTGATACTTGGTAAACTAAAGATAAATCTGCATGGAGAAATGCGCGTTACAGTTTTCATGATAAGCAACACATCACAAAGTTCTAGTCAGCGCGGTTTAATTACTTTAATATATTGTTTTGTTTTCTCAAGACCTTTTAACAGTTTTGTGATATGATTAATTGTAAGAAGTTGACAAAGTAAAAAAGTAATTGTAAAAATAATTGTAAAAGATAATTGAACATTATTAACAGTTATCTGAGCATTTTATTATTTTTGGTAGTTGTGTATACTTGTTTTAAAATATGATTGCGAGCATCGTGTAGTGTATATATCATCCTATATCTTATTACATTATTCTTGAAATGTTAGTCTTTGATTTGTAATATAATGCTCTCGGGAGGGTATACACTATATAACTCTAAATAGCTCTAAATATTTGTGTATCATTCAAATGTACAAACCATGAAGACCTGCTATTTTTCAAAACGCTGCCGATTTCACCTTTTCTTATTTAGGGCTTTTTCTAAGCAGTTGTTCGTGTCCAGTTACGTGTAAGATCAGTTTTCCCCAACTGCGCGTGCGCATTGAATGCTTTCCTTTGTACGCATGCGCGCTGGCAACGAAAACAATGGCCGCTAGTGAATTTGAAAGCATGAGGGAGCGTGAACTTTGGAGGCGATTTATTCACATTTGTGCAACTATTTCGCTTGGGGGGAAGTGGATTCTAAGTAAGTAAAACCTTCTCTTTCTATCTATGTAAAAATTATTATCTCCCTCGGAGGCTGTAATGAAACGGCACAATTTAGGCCTTCATCCTACGGCCTATTTCATTTCATCTGGTCGATGCTGGGAAAATGCACGATATAACTGAACAGGACACCGTTCGTTGTGGGTTGCTTGCGCTGTTGCCCGTCGCCGTGCCTGGTCTTTGAACCTCGTTCAGCTTTCCACAACAACAATTCGCTGCCTGTTTCGGGGTCTTTACTGTTGGATACGTTTCCCCACTTTAGTTTTCTCGACTCGTCACGCGCTCGAAAGCCGAAATGAAGAGAAAGAACCCACCAAACGGTCCTCTGAAGAACTTCTGGGTCGTGTTTTCCGAACAAACCCAACTCGAAGAACTTGTCTTCCTCTGCCGTCGTCAACTCTCGACAATTAAGCTTGTGGTCGGTTTCCTTTGGCGTGTTGTTGGACAAGCTCTCGTTTCTTCGCTATAAGAACTTCACGGGATTTGGCAAACATATGGTCTTGTAGGATATTCATTGTGGAACTCTTGTCGTTCAAATATCTCTGCAAACTTCTCTGGAAGTCCTTAAGAGAAGTAGGTTCATAAACGCTGCCATTTCTCTTGCGTACATTCATGAAAAATTTCGCGAGCTGGACATTTAATTCTTTGGCAGGTATGTTTTCAATTTCTCTTGTCTCGTATATTGATTCAAAGTACCTTTTAATAACATTTATGTCCTACATCGTCTTTTTTTTCGTGTTATCTGGGCGTTGCCTTTCGATAAAACTTTCAATTTCACCCAACTCTTCGGGTGAAGTTAGACAAATTTGGCCCTCCACTGCTCTTCTAGGTGCTAAGGGACCGGTCATTATTTATGGTGGGGGGTGGCACCGAAGAGAAATGTTTTTCCTGGTAAACATTTTGCTGACCCAACCATTAAAAAGAAAAAAATTTGATTACCCAACCTCACATATCAATTAAAAAATAAATACCCACCCCTGGCCAAAACCTTTACAAAAGAATACCATTCAGTTGTCACACATGTCCTTTACCACTTCTGTGACACAAGTTTGATAACTAAACTTTCATGTTGTATGTACATGTACTTTCTTTGGAGACACCGTTTGTCTCCCAACAAATCGGAAAATGATCAAGATAGTGACTCTGATTGATTCACATATTGTATTAACATATGACTGTTGACATTGCTTTTCAGTGTTCAATATTTAAGTGAGTCATGCTTTGGAAATGACAATAACTTTTTATTACCCAACCCTTGAGTTGTTTTGTTTTTCATTTACCCAACCTTTTAGTTACTCAAAATTTAGTTTACCCAACCCTTTTCTCTTCGGTGCCACCCCCCGCCATAAATAATGACTGGTCCCTAAAACGTCGTTTCTATCAATGCTAGGAAGAATACTATCCTCTGTGGGATAGTAAAATTCACTTTCACTGTGTTTTCTTCGTCTGCAGACATTTTAATGTTAAAAAGTAGCCTTAAATAAGCTCGTCTTTAAATTTTCAAAAATAAAAACATTGCCTCCACGGCTTTAAATCTCGCGCGGTCCGTACGGGCTCATACGGACCGCTCACGTAGCCAATCAGATTTCAGAAAAGCGTAAAATATGATTTCGGACCGCAAGAAAAAAATAAAGAAACGTTATGTCTAAGAGACTGACATGAGCAAACAAGCTTGCGTGGACAGGAGTTGAACGATAGTTTTTAATCCTAACGCTACAGGAATATTGTAAGACTTTATTAATACATATTCAGAAATAAATTATTTCAACAGGTTGCCTGCGTGATCGATTCAGATTTTTTCAAAGAGGTTAAAAGGTTCTTAATTTGGTTTTCACGCTGTAATGTTAATTTGACAGGATAAGCATCTGAAAATCATTTGCAGTAACAAATGTGAAGCTATGAAAATTAGTGAAAAGCCCTGTGAATGTTGGTTTACGATAAACAGGGGTTTCATAGTGGGCATTTGTTCGTGTAATAGTAATGTCAAGGAAGGAAAGTTGACAATTGGATTCAACTTCACAAGACAGTGAAGTTAATGTTAGGATATTGGCGATTGAGATACGCAAGAAAAAGAGGAATATGGTCAAATCGTTTATTTTCATGGCTTCAATTTATAGTAATCATTTGCAGTACTAAATTTACGTGGTGTTTCCACAAACAATATAAGTTGAAAGATATCGCGCTCTCTGGCTACCGCAGTTACAGCCGACCTGATTTCTTGTTTTCTAAGGACGATTGGAAAACACTCGATGACTTAAAGAAGGACAAAAACATCGTCATCGTAAAGCCAGATAAAGGAAATGGAGTTGTCATTCTCGACCGTGGCGATTACAACCAGAAAATGGAAGATATTTTGCGTGACACTACCAAGTTTGAACGCCTTGACGCTGAATGGATCCTGTCAAATTAACATTGCAGCGTGAAAACCAAATTAATCTGAATCGATTACGCAGGCAACCTATACAACTCTATCCTACTGGCTCTCGCTTTGGTATCTTATACGGATACGCATTGGTATCAAATACACAAGAACAGTATTCCACTTAGACCAATTCTATCATGTATTAATCATTATTCTTATAAGATTGCCAAGTTCTTTGTTCCCATTCTAAGTCCTACTTGCTCTAGCGCCATTCTTGCCATGGCTAGCTTTGATGCCACGTCCTTGTTCACTAATATCCCGCGATGGACGAAACCATAGAAATAATTGCTGATCGCTTGTTTTCGAATACCATATCCGTTTTCATGATCTCACTCTCTGTGAATTCAAACAACTCTTGAATTGGGCTGTCAAAAACTGCCATTTCTTGTTCAATGGTTCCCTATATCAACAGGTAGACAGCGTAGCAATGGGCTCTCCTCTCGGGCCTCTATTTGCTAACATTTTTTTATCCCTCATGAAACCACTTGGCTTAATAATTGCCCTACCAATTTAAAGCTCTTATTATATCGTCGATATGTAGACGATACCTTCCTTCTATTCCGTTCTAGGGACCATATTCCTCTATTTCTTGCTTATCTCAATCGCCAACATCCCAACATTAACTTCACTTGTGAAGTTGAATCCAATTATCAACTGTCCTTCCTTGACATTACTACTACACGAACTAATGGCCACTCTGAAACCTCTGTTTATCGTAAACCTATATACATTCACAGGGTTTTCACGAATTTTCATAGCTTCACTCCTCTACAATTTAAACGTGTTTTAATATGTTCACTATTACACTGTTTTTTCAATATTTGCTCTAAATATGAGAATTTTCATGCTCAGATTGAGTTTTTTAGAAAAATCCTCAACCAGAACGGTTATCCTACTCGTCTCTTTGATCGTTGTGTTCGACTCTTTCTTGATAAAACCTTTCAACGCAAGAAATTAATCCATTCGGTATCAAAGAAAGTGGTATATTTTTGTCTTCCATATACCGGAACACACTCTCCAAAACCGTACACAAATTCAACGCCTTTGCTCTGTAGCCTTCCCACATAAAAGCATCAGAACCGTGTTTCGTCCCACTCTACGTTTGTCCAATTTCTTCACGTTTAAGGACAAAATTCCCGATGCTTTGAGGTCTTGTGTATTCTATTCTTTCAAGTGTGGATGCTGTTCCGCGTCGTATGTGAGCCAACGGTCCGCCAGCTACATACACGAGTCTCTGAACACCTGGGTATTTCTGCCTCAACTGGTAAGACGAGTAGCAGTCCTCAACTTACGAGCATCTTTTCCCATCTGAGCCTCTTAGGTCATACTGCTTCTCCTGATGATTTTAAGATCCTATTATCCTGTTCCTCTCCAGATGAACTTCTCGTCCGAGAAAGTCTTGTTATCTCAAAGCTCAAACCTACTTTGAATCAGCAAGGTAGCTCCATTCCTCTCTCACTCCTCTGACTTCTTTCCTTTAACTCCCCCCC